ACAACTATATAGTTATTGTCTTAACTCAACGGTTATGTGGCAGGATCAGTTTTGAAATTTCTTCACGAATTAAATAAAATTGTTTGTAGCGTACATTTTTTTTTTGTTTCACTGATAAACTTGACTTTTGTTTTTCTGTTATTTTTAATAAAAAACATTCACATTAGCATACATTAAATGTTATGTACAATATTTTTGTAGCACTAAAAGGTGGATTATTTTGAATTGTACATTTGTTTTAGGAAGTTTTCTTTTTTTCTGTTCATTTTTCATTTAATAATTTCATTTCACTTTTAATTCACTTTTAACTAATGTCGATTCACGTCAAAAAAAAATGCAAAAACGCTCTACACAAAGATGTTGCTTGCTCGACTCTAAAAAAAACTGAACAACTTTTTCTTCTGCTAGATATTTTATATCGCTGCTCTTCATCGCTATCCTCGATAACGTTCTTTTCGGGTCAACGTTTGTAAGTTTAGCTAGATAACGTTTATCCTAACACCACTCGCTCAGATACTCTTACAACATATGAACTTTCACCATACTTAACATCCACACTCTTAAATACTTTAATGTACACACTTAGCATTAAATTGCCAACATTTATCGTAACAAAGATCAATTGCTCCTCTTTTGGAGCGATGGTCATGAAGTAATTTATCATCAAGTCGTAGTTCAGATTCGCACATTCGCACATAATGCCTTTGGTTTCATTTGTTGACAAGCTTGATGTAGCGACGTTATTCCTGTGTTTAGAGCTAATGCTTCTGTCTAATAAAGACTTAAATCGTAATAAACTAATTGATTCTATTCAATAGTTGATATAGCAGCTGTGCTTAGATTCTCGAAGTGAATACCCAATTTCGACCCAAACCTTTCATTGTCAATTGATATTCAATTGATAATTGATAGTAATATTGCCATATTACTATTGGCAATATCAGTAGTAGTGTAAGTAATACAGTAATGTCATAAGTAAATACAACCTGTATTTGACTTTAGCATTGCGCCGTCGTCCTAACTCCACCGCTAGGAGGGGATACTGGGGCAGATTAATATATGTTCAAGATGTATAAACGCATACGTTAAATTTCTCGACTACTTAAGAAACGCGCACTCTCGTTTGAAAAGAGTTGTGAAAGAAGGGATTGTGCACTGCGACCTGAAAGATCTATTGTGCCCCTTACTCCGGTTAGAGTGTTTCTCCAAGTCCGATTTCTTTAATGAAAGACAATAAAAAGCCTATATTTTCTAGTCTTGAATTTTTATCATCCATTAAATAACCTCCTAAGTGTTTCTTCCGCTTGTGCATCAGTGCCGTGCACTCCCCAAGCACTTGGTATGCAGTTTCTCTCTCTTCTCTACAGTATCTGCAGTCTGAGTTGGATTGAATTCCTAACTTCGATAAGTGATTATTCAATCTACAGTGACCGGTCACTGATCCCGTAGTAATTCATAGGTTGTTTTTTGATTGTGCTATGCAATTTTTGAAGCGTTTTAGGTTGTAAGTCCCTAACAGCATTTTAGATTTTGAGAGTTTTGGTATCCTTTCCCAATAGAGTTGTCTTTCGTTTTCCTCTGCACCATTCATAACAATAGATAGAGTTCCTTTACCTAGACTACAAAATGGTTTTGGGGCTATCATTCTTGAGACTTCGCCTCTTCTTGCAACTTTGTCTATCATTTCATTGCATTGGATACCAGTATATCCCGGAATCCACATTAATACAAGTTTTAAGTTAATTGAAATTTCAATTTTGTAAAAATTTTATATTACAATTTTAAATATTAAATACAGTTAGTTTTAAATATTCCTGAAGATTATAAAGATTTATATCTTAAGAATGTTATAAAAATAGTATAAAATCAATTTATTTAAGTACAAAGCAAAAAATTTAACTATATCGGCAGTATACTGCCCACCTCGCTTCAACATTACTAAGACCCAATTTACGGATTATTTCTTAACTCTAGGTGACAAATTTCTTGCGACAGGAGACTACAACGTCAAGCACACGTATTGGAGTTCACGGCTCTGTAATCCAAAAGCTAAACAGCTTTACAATTCCATTCTAAATAAAAAACATGCACTAAACGTAATCTCTCCTATGCAGCCCACATATTGGCCTGCCCATAACAATAAAATACCAGACCTAATGGACTTCGCCGTGACTAAAGGCATAAGCAGAAATTTTATCTTAACATACAGAAGCTGCGATTTTTCTTCTAACCACTCTCCAGTTATATTTTGTTTACAGTTATATAACTGTTCCCAAAGCGTTACAAAACCTAGAACAAACTGGCTCAAATATAAAAAGTACATCAATTCACACATACACACAAACTACAAGATAAAGTGTAAATCTCATATTGAGGACGCAACCTCGGTTTTAAACTCAATTCTGATTTCAGCAGCAGAAAATTCCACCCCTAAAGACAATAAAATTTACAGATCCAATAAAGTACTTACAAATAATGACAGAGAATTTAGTTTTATAAAAACGTAGATTAAGGCATGAATGGCAAAAATTTAGGTCTCTTTCAGCGAAAAACTTATTTAGGGAAGCCCAAAGAAGACACAGATCTCCACTAAGCAAGGAAACCAAAATCAGGCAATATAATTATATTCAAAACCTATGTCCAAATGGCAAAAACAATTCATCCTTGTGGAATGCTAGCAAAGGTATAAATTCCCTCATAGAATCCGATTCTCCAATAAGAAACTCTCTCGGAAACTGGGCGCGAAGTTATGAAAAAAAATCTAACATTTTTGCTGATTATCTAAAAGAGGTGTTCCAACCAAATCCTGCAACAGGACATTATGACTGTCCTACTCAGGATCTACATGTATCATCTGTTGACATGAATATCACGGCCAATGATCTTGTTCAAATAATCACAAACAAGTTAGATTGCAAAAAGGCACCGGGATTTGATAATATCTCACCCATCATAATAAAAATCTTACCCCTTTTGGCTATAAATTTTATCACATGACTTTTTAATGACATTATTAAATTTGGCTTTTACTCAACAGAGTGGAAAACATTCATGATTATTATGATTCATAAATCAGGTAAATATCACACGCTTGCCTCTTCATACAGGCCAGTAAGGTTACTGCCATGCCTTTCTAAACTCTTTTAAAGAGCCTTACCAGTTTGGTTTAAGGGAAAAACATGGAACTATTGAGCAAGTTAATCGTATAACGAACGAAATAAGATGTGCATTTGAGCTCAGAGAATATTGTTCCGCGGTCTTTCTCGATGTTAAATAAGCCTTTAATAAAGTATGGCATAATGGGCTCCTATATAAGATACGCTGTTTATTACCTTCAAATGTCTACTCAATTTTAGAATCGTATCTGCATAATAGAAGTTTTAAAGTTAAATGTAAATCATATACTTCTAATTATTTCCCAATAGAAGCTGGCGTTCCACAAGGAATAAGTAACTCAGTCGTCACCACAACGTTTGCTCATGATAGGGCAATTTTATGTCGAAACAAAACCGCTATGCTAGCTTCAAACCAACTTCATTCTCACTTATTTCGGGTGGAGAAATGGTTGTCAAAATGGCGAATTAAAATTAATGAACTAAAATGTAGACACATTTTTGCCTTAAATCGGAGCACATCTCCAACAATTACTAAATAACATTCCCATACCACAAGCAAATAATATAACGTACTTAGGTGTACCTAGACAGACGATGAACTTGGCACAAACATATTGAAGCCAAAAATTTTCAGATGAAGCTCCAAACCTCTGAGTTGCATTGGCTTATTAAAAGAAGATCTTCCAGGTGCCTAGAGTATAAAGTACTCTTGTATAACAGCATCATAAAACCAATATGGACTTTTGGTATCTAGCTATTTGGCAATGCTAGTGCATCAAATATTGAAATTATCCAAAGTGCTGAGTCAAAAATTCCCCTAGTTAAAACTCAATTTGACAATAAAGAAAAAAATACAATAAAAGGCTGACAGAACATTATCCAAAGTGCTCAGTCAAAAATTCCCCTAGTTAAAACTCAATTTGACAATAAAGAAAAAAATACAATAAAAGGCTGACAGAACATGTTAATCTCCTAGCAAAAAATTTCGCACATCTATCCACTACTTCCCGCCTAAAAAGAGCTGACCGTCCAGCCATTAATTAATATTCAACAGCTTTAAGTAATAACCGCACCTTTGTTTTTAGTTATCTGATAAAGTTTAACTACTTTCTTAAGAAACCACCTAACATTCACTCCAACGAAACTTAACCCATTAGTCTAAATGAGGTTCGTGTTATAAAGTTTACTTATTTTATTTTATTTTATTTTATTTTATTTTATTTTATTTTATTTTATTTTATTTTATTTTATTTTATTTTATTTTAATATTTATTTTATTTTATTTTATTTTATTTTTATTTTATTTATTTTATTTTATTTTATTTTATTTTATTTTATTTTATTTTATTTTATTTTATTTTATTTTATTTTATTTTATTTTATTTTATTTTATTTTATTTTATTTTATTTTATTTTATACAATGCATAGTTAAATTAAAAGTTGTAATATTATGTACAACTTATTGGTAGTCTCATTCTAAGAGAAGATGCAATAAATAAATGTATGTTTAAAAAGAAAAAATTTTATTTGTATTCTATCTTGAAAAAGACCAGAATAATCTAAAATATATTTTAATTTTTCCAATGCATTAGCTTAGGTAAAAATAATCTTTCACTTGCGATTTGGTCTAAATAAAATTTTGACGAAAAATAAACAAAAACAAAAATACTAGTTCATTTTGTTAGAAAAATTTTATCTCATATGATATCATATCAACATACATATGATATGGTTGAACCAATATGATGCGTAGTAGTGTAGAAATTCAGTACCTTTAATATTCGTTCAGTATTTATTGAGGAATGTTTTTCAACAAATCTGTGAATGAAAGTAATACTAATTACAATACATAAATATTAACATCAATCATGTTATTTTAGTTTGAAGGTGCTTTTGATGCAAGACGTCTTGGAAATTGGGAAATACCTAAACAGTATCCATCCAGACCACGCACACGTCAAGGAAATACAACATTTATTGCCAACAATAGTGGACATTTGCTTCCTCATATTAAAAAGTAATTTCAGTTGAACTTATCTTTATTAATTCTATAAGACTTTAATTTCCAAAAATTTAGAACCGACGAACATCCATGGGGAAATTTTAAAAGCACATACGAGTTACCAAAAAGAATAACAAGAGAATTTATTGAAAATTATAATTATTGTTTAACCAACCCTAACAGATATAAGCACTTTGGAGAGGAAATTAAAACTTGTAACGAAATTAAAAACTCGATATGTGAACCAAAATGTGTGGCAATAAAACGTATTATAGACATCAGCAAACTACAAGAGAAGGTGCAAAAACATAGAAAAACTCAACGTTTGGCCTTTGTCTGCAAAAACAAATAAATTTCAATTTAATAGAATCAATTTGAATAAATTTAGTCAAAATAAAATAATGGACATGGTAAATTAAGTTTGCAAAATTTTTATTGTTCAATGTACTTTATTAATTTTATATATAACTACGTTTTTATTTAATAATATTCTATTGCAAGCACTCTGATTTAGAATATATACCAGGCGACTTCACGTCACCACGACATCAGCATTCATCACGGGAACTTTTACTTCGACAAAAGTATGAGAGAGATAAAAGTATAGCACCAGAATTGCCTTTGCATAAATTTAATCTGGAAAGATATAACAATTATTTAACAAAAAAAAATCTGTCATTAAATACATGTTCACCAATTTTGCCACATACATCGTCAAAGAAGACACCGTTTTCGCCACCTGTCGAAGACATATGCTTAAACCAGGAATTGCAAAATTCAGAATATAATATGATTAAGTCTGTTAATTCCATAGCAGATAAACCCAACGAACGTTGCCCGTCTCCAATAGTACCCGCTTACGCAAATTTTGAATTAGCAAAACGTATGCATAGTGAAAACTTGGACCACCAACCTTTACCTGATTGTGTGGCAGATTTGGCATATCGAAAATTACAAATATCAGGCGGTCAACCTGGTCTTGGTCTAGAAATTGATCCAGTTGCCACTGGAGTTGGCATGAAGTCATACAAAGCTGGCCCTACTCATTGCACAAAATTAAAGGTATATCGTCCAAAAACTTGTGGTGTAGTACCGAGATCATACAATTTAACCGGGAGTCCACTCTACATATCTGCAGATCAAAATAAAAAAATGAGTGCAATGGATCTAGCAATTTGCTGGGACTATACTCCTTTAAATCCCAATGATGAACCACAACGTGCAATGCATATAGATGGCTCCAATGACTCCGCTGGACCTGCAGTGTTTACACATGTTAAGACACCACGTGAAGATGTTGCCACCAGTACAGGTCGTTCTGCAGGAGTTTTTAACAACACTTTAGGTGAAGCTAGTTTTTTTGATAAAGACATATTAAGTAGGAAAACTGACTTTACTGGAAAGAATTTGGATAAAGATGATAATTGTGTGTGCGACTCAAATGATTTTGATATACCGCATCGCTCACATAGCGTTTCGAATATACTTAACCAAACAATGCCACCGCGCTATAGCAAGCAATACCAATCTACTTCCAGTGATATGACTCAACAAAAATTAAAGGCTTTACGTAAAAAATATTTAGGTACAGATGACGGTGGTCCAATTTGTTTGACTGAAGCTACGGAACCAGCTTGCAAGCGAAGTGGTTTCTTCCGACGCGCTCGTTCTCGTCTTTGTCATAAAGTAGCACCACAATCCGCTTGTTGTCCTACAAATAACTTTGAAACGCGTTACCCATGTAAATCAATTTTTCGAATTGGGAACACAAAATACAACGGAGCAGGTGAATTTATTAATTCTAATAGTGGTTGTTGTATTGGAAACCATAACTCTAATAAAGTTTTAGTGATTCCTAGGCCAAGAAATCCATACAAAAGAAAAAATTATAGCATTGATACTTTAGTTCCCCCTTTTACAAGTTATCAAGGTGGAGCAGGACAGGGAGGATAT